ATGTTCACCTGCAGGGACTGACTGAGGATGGCTGAATCTACATAATGCTGACTAGGCTGGCTCAACCAAGGGCACAGTCCCAAGCGTAACCCATAATCAACCTGTGGTAGTTGGGTAAGCAATGCTTTGAATCTTGCAGCTCATGAAATAAGATATAGATGTTATACTCCAAAGTCACTTAAGTTATCCTCATGGGACCTGGAAAGGAAGCCACCTATATTCCACCACTCCAGGCTCATGCCGTCCAGGGCACAATCCACAGAATAACTTGCACATGAAGTATGAGACTGGGTAACTTCTCCACTGTATCCTGCTGTTTTGAGATCACACTGTTTGTTCTGTGAGTCCTGGAAATGCCTGCACTTGCCCTTTGGGACCTGAGGAAGTCTCCATCTCCATTGCACTCGTGCAGGGCCACAATTCCCCATGTTCCATTCCCAATATAATCTATACCGAAACATGGGACCAGGACAAGATCACCTTCACATCCTCCAGTCCTAAAACTAGGGCTGTTCATTCTATAAGCCCAAGTGCCCCCCTGCCCAAGCAGAAAAAACTGAAGAAGTATCCATTCACATCCCACAGTTTTAGAGCCAGAGCTATTGGTGTCATAAACCCAGCATCAACCAGGCTTGCCTCCTCTCTGTCTCATAGCAAAAGGAATGTGGTGAAAACATGGCAAACCCTAGTTTTATTGATACCAACCCTCTGAAGACTGAAAATACATCTTTCTGGAAGTCTACATCCAATTCAAAGTCATACTATTATGACCAGAGTAATGCAGCGTAGACAACTGAGGCACTTATAGACCCTGCTTCCATTGAATACAGCAGAATAAATCATTCAGAGGCTATATGTGTGGGTTTACCTGGAACTAAAGCCAAAGGGACTAACCAAGTGACACCCCATGTTCTATCTAAAAAAAGGTCTTTTTCAAGGAAAATTGATCTATAAAGAAAAAGAAACTATTACACCAGATTGTAGATTTTCATGTAGGGATATTGGAAGCATGGATACTGGAAGCCACAAACCATGAAACTTCCAAAACCACACAGTAGTTGACACCAGAAATAGATTCTGATTTCAAAGAAATGCATGAAATGGCTGAAAAAAATTCAAAATAACTATCCTCAGGAATCTCAATGGGATACAAGATAATGCAAAATAGAATGGGGAAAACTGTGAAAAATATTAATGAGAAATTCAACATAAAGATAAAAAGTTTCAGTAAGAAATGTGGGAGCTTAAAATTTTTTTTTCTTTTTTTTTTATTTTAAAAAGGGCAGTCAATAGATACAGAGAAGCCAAACTGAACAGCCTCAACAAAATAAAATTAACATCAGCAGCAGCTCCTCTTGCTGAAGACGGGCTAGAGCACACGTGTACCAGAGTTCTGCGGCTGTTAAAAGGGAGCTTAAAATTTTATGAAATTAAAATACAATGGAGAGCTTCAGCAACAGAATAGATCAACCAGAAGAAACAAATGCTAACCATGAGGAAAAGACTTTTGAAAATAAACAAAAATAAGCAGAAAAAAATTTAAAGAAAGACCATAAGACATATGGTATATCATTAAGTAAAAGAATATTTATATCACTATGGTAACTGCAAGAGAAGGACAATGGCATTGAGAAACTAATGAATGAAATAAATAATAGTCAAAAACTTAACAATTCTGAAAATACATGAAGACAACCAGATACAAGAGAGCTCAAAGTATCCCAACCAGGCTGAGCCAAAATAAGCTTTTTCTAAACATTTTATAGTCATATGGCTGATGACAGTGAGAGAAAAATAACAAGTTATGTATAACATAAAACCAAAAAGACTAGACTAACAGCAGACTTCTTGGCAGGAACATAGAGGACCAAAGAAAATAGGATTATACATTCAAGACTTTGAGATACGTGGGTAGAGCTAGGAAATAACTTCTAATGAGGGATAGTGTACCCAGTGAAACTATCCTTTGTAATTGAAGGAGAAATATTTTCCAGACAAGGAAAAGCTAGAATAATTCATTACCACCAGCTAAACAAGAAATACTGAAACAAGTCATGCATTAGAAGTAACCTTCAAGAAAACACATGACAGAATTCAATAACAGGTCAGGTAGAGAAAGAAGAAGAAAATCCCATTATCATGGAAAAATACTCTAAAATATAAAGACAAATAATAAGAGAAGCATAAAGAAACATAATACATAAAGCAATTATGAAGCCACTGATAAAATGGAAGTGATTCCTTTATATCCATCCATAAAGATAGATAACATAAACACACACTGAAAATGAAGGGTTGAAAAGAGATATGGCCCACAAATGTGAATAAAAATCAAGCTGGAGCAGCTATAATTCTAGGAGATAAAACAGGTTTTAAATCAAACTGGGTAAAAAGAGACAAATAAAGGCATTATATTGGTATAAAAATCAAATCAACAAATAACATAACAATCAGAAATAGATATGCACCCAATATAAGACAAATTGAAAATATAAAACCAATATTATTAGAATTGAAGTGAGAGATAGATTCCACAATAACGGGCGGCTTCAAAACCCCATTGTTATCAAGACATAATCATCCAATCAACACATTAGAATTGAACCATACAGTAGGTCAAATGAAACTAACCTTCATTGAGTATTTCACCCAATATTTTCATAATACACACTCATCTCATCAGTACATGAAATATTTTTCTAGGTAAACTATATGTTAGAACACTAGCCTAGTCTCAGTAATCATTTAAAACACCGAAATCATGCTATATTTTCAGATCACCAAGATATAGAACTGGAAATCAACAAGAATAATAGAAAATTTACCAATACATGGAAATTGAACAACATGCTTTTATATGAACAATGGAATACTGAATAAATTAAAAAGAAGATAAAAAATTTCTTGGAACAAATTAAAATGCCACAGCCCAGCAAAAGCAATATTATGAGGGCAGTTTATAAAAGGTAATAAATGCATATATTAAAAAAGAAAGATATCAAATAAACAACCTAATGATGCACATCAAGGATTTAGCGAAAGTAAACCTAACTCAATATTAGCAGAAAGCACGAAATAAGGCTCCCAACAGAAATAAATGAAACAAACTGAAAAAAACTAGATTAGTAGCTATTTTTGTAAAGATAAATTAAATGAATAACAAAGAAAATAAGAAACTCAAATAAATAAAATTAGAGATGTAAAATGAGGCATTGCTACTGATACCACAGAAATACAAAGAATCTTAAGAAGCTACTATAGGCAACAATGTGCTAACAAATGGGAAAACCCCAAGGAAAAGGGCATATTCCTGATAGAAAACATTTCCAATATCAAATCAAGAAAATACATAAAATCTAAGTAGCCCAATTAAATAATAAGACTGAAACAGGCCAGCTCCGTGGCTCACTAGGCTAGTCCTACGCCTGCGGCACTGGCACACTGGGTTCTAATCCAAGTTGGGGTGCTGATTCTGTCCTAGAAGCTCCTCTTCTAGTCCAGCTCTCTGCTTTGGCCCAGGAGTGCAGTGGAGGATGGCCCAAGTGCTTGGGCCCTGCACCCGCATGGGAGACCAGGAGGAAGCACCTGGCTTCTGGCTTCGTATCAGCGCACTGTGCCGGCAGTGGTGGCCATTTGGGGGTGAACCAAAGGAAGGAGGACCTTTCTCTCTGTCTCTCTCCCTCTCTCACTGTCTAACTCTGCACTGAAACAGTAATTAAAAGTCTCCAGTCAGAGAAATTCTAGAACCTAATGGCTTTACACCTGAATTAAATAAAACTTTTGAAGAGGGATTAACCCAATACATCAAAAAGCATCCCATGTCATTGAAAAGGATAGAACTTTACTGAAATCTTTGTGAGGCCAGCATTAATCTTATATCAAAATCAAACAATGACACAACACAAAAATAAAGCTAGATATCAATATCCTTGATAAACATAGATGCAAACATTGTCTACAAAATATTAGCAACTGAATGAAACTATATCAAAAAGATCATACATCATGAACAAACAGGATTTATACCAGGGAGCAAGGGTGGCTCAACATTTCCAAATCAACAAACATCACGAGATACACTGATAGAATGGGGAACAAAAACCAAAAGAATAGCTCAATAAAGGGTGATACTACATTTGATAAGACTCAATATCCCTTCATGATGAAAACTGTTAACGGATTATGTATAGAAAGAACATAGCTCATAAAGGCTCTACAATCAAAAAAAAAAAAAAACAGCTGATGTCAATCAGAATGAAAAAATTAAAAGTAACTTCCCCTTAAAACTGAAACAATAACATTAACTTTTGCCACTCCTATTCAATATAGTATTGGAATATTAGCATTAGCAATTAGGGAAGAGAATGAAATAGGACATCAAAATTGGAAAGGTATATCAAAGTATCCATGTTTTCAGAAGGCATGATTTTTACATGGAAAAATCTAAACACACCCCCAAACACTGTTAGAACTGAGAAAGCAATTCAGTAAAGTCTCAGGATACAAAATCAACAGACAAAAAGTAATAACATTTTTATATAACAACAATGATTTCATTGGAGCAGAAATCAAAGAATAATTTGCATTAACAATAGCTAAAAAAATTCATTATGTAGGAATATGTGTCATCAAAGAAATAAAACATCCCTTCAATAGAAATTTTAAAACACAGATGAAAGAAATAATTAAGGATCAAACATACAAATATATTATCTATGAATTGAAAAACTAATATCATTAAAATGTCCATGTTCCATAAACAACTACAGATTCAGTGTAAGATACCAATTATATTATTTATATAATGAGAAAACAAAATCTTAAAATTCATATGGAACCACAAAGAATCCAGAATGTCCTGATCAATTCTGGGGAAAATAACAGTCAACCTGGAGGCATCATAATACTCAATTTCAAAGCATACTATAAAGTGTAGTAATTAAAATAGCATGGTACTGCCATGAAAAATTAACACATAAGGGGCCCGCGCCATTGCTTACTTGGTTAATCCTCCACCTGTGGCACCAGCATCCCATATGGGTGTCGGGTTCTAGTCCAGGCTGCTCCTCTTCCAGTCCAGCTCTCTGCTGTGGCCCGTGAAGGTAGTGGAGGATGGCCCAAGTACTTGGGCCCCTGTACCCACATGGGAGATCAGGAGGAACCACCTGGCTCCTGGCTTCAGATCGACATAGTTTCGGCCATAGTGGCCATTTTGGGGGGTGAACCTACAGAAAGACGACCTTTCTCTGTCTCCAACTCTATCTGTCAAATAAAAAAAATTAACACATACATCAATGAAGCAGAATAGAGAACATAACAATCAAATACATACAGCTGACTTGTGGCAAAGGTGTCAAGAACACACATTATAGAAAGGATAGTCTATTTTAAATAATTTTTATTTATACAAGATGAACAAATTTCATGTATTTCCTATGTACAGATTTAGAAGCAAAATGATACTTTTCATCCTAACTTCCCTCAAACACATGTCCCCACCTATTCTCCTCCATCCTTTCTTATCCTGTCATTTTTATAATGACATAATTTCAGTATATTTTATGATTGTAAGCTTAGAATTCAAGAAGTTGTAAGGAAAAAAAACACTGTTCCTCAACAGTACAGACAAGGGCTGTAAAAAATCATTGAATCTTAAAATGTCAATTTCATTCCTATACAAATTTTTGGTATTTGATCAGTTACCACACATCAAGGAAAATATAGGATTTGTCTTTCTGGGATTGGCATATTTCACTAAGTATAATGCTTTCCAGTTGTAGCCATTTTGTTGCAAAATACAGGATTTCATTCTTTTTTATGACTGAGTAGTATTCCTTAGTGTATATATACCATATTTTCTGTATCCATTCATTGGTTGATGGACATTTGTGTTAATTCTATATCTTAGATTTTGTGAATTGATCTGTAGTAAACATGAGAATTTAGATAATTCTTTCATGTGCTGATTTAGTTTTACTTGTTAAATTCCCAAGAGTAGGATGGCTGGGACATACAGTAGATCTATTTTCAAATTTCTGAAGTATATCCATACTGCCTTCCACAACAGCTGTACTAGTTTACAGTCCCACCAACAATGGATTAGGTTATCTCCCAAACTCCCACCACCCTTGCTAGCATTTATTGTTTGTTGATTTCTATATGAAAGCCATTCTAATTTGGGTGAGGTGAAACCTCATTGTGGTTTTTATTTCCACTTCCCTGATGGCTAATGGTCTTTTCATTTGTCTGTTGGACACTTGAATTTCATTGATTGAAAAATGCCTGCTCAAGTCCTTTGCACATTTATTAACTGGATTGTTTGGTTATTGTTTATTCTCTTGAGCTCTTTATAGATTGTGGATATTAACACTCTGTCAGTTGCATAGTTTATAAATATGTAACCCCATTCTATTAGTGACACTTTGTTGAACATTTCCTTTGTAGTGCAGAAGCTTCTTAGATTGATGTGATCCCATTTGTCTGTTTTTGTGTCTTTTTCAAAAAGTCTTTGCCTATGCCAATGTTTGCAGTCTCCCCCATGTTCTCCTGTAGAAATCTAATGGTACCAGGTCATATGTATAGATGCATGGTTCATTTTTAGTTCATTTGTAAGAGACTATTAGAATTCATAACAGAGTTTGGTAAAGTTGCATGATATAAAACCAACATACAAAATTCATAGCTTTTGCATACACAGACCATATCATGGCTGACAAAGAATTTGAAAGATCTTTCCCAGTCACAATAGCTACAAATAATGTGAATACTTTGGAATAAACTTATCCAAGGAGTTGAAAGATTTCTACAATGAAAATTACAAAACATTAAAGAAAGAAACAGAAGACACACAAAAAAGAAAAACCTTCCATGTTCAGGGATGGGAAGAATCAATATCATCAAAATGTCCATACTACTGAAAGCAATTTACAGATTCAGTGTGGACTCAATCAAAATACTAACAATATTCTTCTCAGATCTAGAAAAAATGATGCTAAATTTCATATGGAAATGCAAAAACTTTTCATACTCCATATGGAAATAGCTAAAGCAATCTTCAACAACAAAAAGAAAGCCACAGGCATGACAATAGCAGATTTCATTTACTACAGGACAGTTGTAGTCAAAGCTGTCTGGTACTGGCATATAAATAGACATATAAATAGACACATAGACCAACAAAACAGAATAGAAGACCCAGAAAATCAATCCACAAATCTAAAACCAAGTAATCTTTGACAGAGTAGCTAAAACCAATCTCTGGAACAAGGACAGTATCTGCAACAAAACGTGTTGGGAAAATTGGATCTCCATGTGCCGAAGTATGAAACAAGGATAGTCTTTTCAATCAATGTATATGTGGAAGAGTAAAATTACTCACTATATAACAAAACCGACTCAAGATGTTTCCAAGACCTAAACTTAAGACCTGAAACTATGAAATTACTAAAAGATAACATAAGAGAAATTCAAGATATTGGTGTGCCAACAATATCTCAGATATCAATGTAAGAATGTGTCAACAACAGCAAAACTAGATAATAGTGATTACAGCAAAACCAGAAGCTTCTGAACAGCACAGGAACTAGTACATACGGTCAAGAGAACCAACAGAGTGGGAGAAAATGTTTGCAAGCTTCTTATCTGACAAAGGATTACTATCCAGAATATATCAGGAACTCAACAACATTAACAAACAACTAATCCAATTACAAAGTCAGCAGAAGACCTGAATATACCTATCAAAAAAGAAATGCAAATGTTAAATATGAAAAATTGCTCAATAACACTAGGCTTGAGTGAAATACAAATCACAACCACAATGAGGTATCATCTCACCCTGTTAAGATCAGTATTATCAGAAAGACAGAAAATAAAAAATATGCTAGTAAAAAGGCAGAGAAAGGGAAATACTAATATACTGTTGGTGGAAATTTATATAGAAAGTGCTTTTTGCCCCTCATACTATTATTGAAGTCTTTACCTTGCATAGAGTTAATTTAATCATGAAGTCAGCTGAAAATAGATCTTTGTAAAAAATCAAGGGTGGGAATATGAGAGAGAGGAGGATGAAGGGTGGGACAATGGGCAGGAGGGAGGCTAGGGTGCTAAGAACCACTATGTTCCTAAATCTGTGTATATGAAATGCATAATATTTGTCTTAAATATTTTTAAATAAGTTAATATAGCAGATGTGGAAATAAGTATGGATGTTTCTTTTAAAAATTAGCAATCTCACTATTGAGTATATATCCCAAAGACCTGAAATAATTGTATCAAAGAGATTCTACTTCCATCATGTTTACTGTAGCGTGCTCATAATAACCAAGATATAGAATCAACCACGGGATCCACAACCAGATGAATGGATAAAGAAATTGCTATATATATTTTATGCACATTATATGTATCATATACATGCAATGGAATGGAATTCAACTATGATAATGGCATTAAGTCATTTCTAGCAAAATAGATTGAACTGTGAAATAAGCAAGACACATGAAGACAAATAATACTTCTTTTCCTTCATATGTGGAACTTTATAAAAAGAAAAACTAAACAGAGAATGGTAATTACTAGATGTTGCAAGTGGTAGGAAGATTGAGGTAGTTTGGATAATAGGTGCCAAATAATAATTAGATTAAAAGAATATGTTTCTACTGTTACATACTATATATACTGTATATACTATATATACTGTTACTATACTATCCCCAGCATAGTAGGGAAAGTATAGTTCACAATAACCTAGTATATATTTTATGAACAAATAGACTGGTCCAGCCCCAAGCTTCCAATCATAAAGCAATGTCAAAGAAGGAAAAATGTTGATTTCCAAATAAAACAACACAACCATAACAACAATAATTATTTGCAACTCACCATTGTTTCTTGGAAAATTGAGGCAAGAATCGTCAAGGGAATGACTAGAATATTTTTCTTATGAATAAGCTTATGAAAAACATCTCTAGATTTGGAGAAATAAAATATGATATTTCCCTATCACATACATATAGTCTAAAATTCTACCCAAATTGTGACTGGCATTATGGCACAGCAGGTTAAGCAGCTGCCTACAATGTCAGCATCCCACATGGGTGCTGGTTTGTATTCTGGCTACTCTACTTCCAACCAGCTCCCTGCTAATGCTCTGAGAAAAGGACAGAAGATGGTCCAAGGATCTGGGTTCCTTCTTTTTTTTTTTTTTTTTTTTTTTTTTTTTTTTTTTTTGACAGGCAGAGTGGACAGTGAGAGAGAGAGACAGAGAGAGAAAGGTCTTCCTTTGCCGTTGGTTCACCCTCCAATGGCCGCCGCTGCAGCCGGCGCACCGCGCTGATCCTGGCAGGAGCCAGGAGCCAGGTGCTTTTTCCTGGTCTCCCATGGGGTGCAGGGCCCAAGCACCTGGGCCATCCTCCACTGCACTCCCTGGCCATAGCAGAGAGCTGGCCTGGAAGAGGGGCAACCGGGACAGAATCCGGCGCCCCAACCGGGACTAGAACCCGGTGTGCCGGCGCCGCAAGGTGGAGGATTAGCCTATTGAGCCACGGCGCCGGCTCGGGTTCCTTCTACCCATGTGGGAGAACCAGAGGAAGCTCTTGGCTCCTGGCTTCTGTTGCCATCTGGGGAGTGAATGAGAGGATGCAAAATCAATTAATCTCTCTCTCTCTCTGCTCTCTCTCTTTCTCTGTGTTCTCTCTCTGCTCTCTCTCCCGCCTTTCTCTCTGAAACTGACTTCCAAATAAATCTCTTACCAAATTCTAGTCAAAATAATAATTTTAATGTTTTAATAAAAAAATTACAATGTATTTTATGTCTGTGTTAGAGCAGAGAACTTCAGTGTTATCTGAGTTTTCTTCTACTTAATTATTGACAGACACACTTTGTGAATTTTCACCAATAGGAAAAATTCTATTTTTCCAAAAGTTTTTTTTCATATATAATTTTCACTCAATTAGTGTTCTATGCATGAAGGAAGAGACCAAAATAGAGAGAAGAAATGTAAATATCGGCCGTTATTAGCAATGATTATTGGCACCTAATAAAATACTATCTATACTCTTGTTGAACACAGATGGGCTGCACATTAAATATGAAAAGGAGCAGAATACAATGACTATGAATTAAAACTTGAGTTTGTCAGTGATGGCATTTCCCAATCACCCAGTATGCAAAAATCTCCTTTATATACCACAGGGATTGTCAAATTAGCACGCAAGTCATAGGAGGACATTGTGCAATGGAAGGAGAATGGCAAAGATAAA